ACATTATTTAACTTTTTAAAATTGAAATATCGCTTTTTAGTTGAAGTTAAAATGCAAATATTTTAAACTTATTCTCAAAACAGAATAAAAGATTTGTTCGTATGGATTAAGAATTTATTTTGCAACTTAGACATTCACATTTGTTAAACGTGAAATGTCACTTTATTCTGAGCGACAGTATTTTCATTATCACTTCGAGTGGATTGCCGTTAGTTTTGAATGATATTTCGTTACGAGAAATTTAAAGAGTGTATCGTAACGTTATATAAAATTACTAAATCAAACGAACTTACTAAATGAAGTTCGATTTGAATTATGCCAAAGATTTCGTCCAGGTGCCCGAGTCAAAATTTTGGCCCTATGTTAAACCTTGAATTCTACAACACAGTAGAAGCTAAGTTAGCAAAGTAGGTTTAATTCTAATGATACAATTTACTTCTATTTTGACCCTGATGATATCTGAAATTTCCCTTTTCACTTTTTTTAGCGTTAAAATAGGTTGTATTATAGTAGGATGTTAATAGTAAGACTGAAAATAGAGTTAAAATTACAATTCGAGTAGGTTAAAAAGAATCAAAAGAGGTGATGTAGGTTTCAGAGTATCAAAATAGGTGTTAAATGGAATAATAAGGTTAAAAGTAGAATCAAAATTTCGACTCGGGTGGCCTTCCCACCCACAATACAAATTCTTTCCCGTCCCTTTCAGGAGAACTCTGAGGCGATTTGCGCCTAGATTCTAATCAAATGACGTGCGCAACGCGCAGGAAGACGCATGGAGGCGCACCGTGCCGTTTCTCGCTTTAACGGGTTTTTTGAAACTGTTGGTGCGAGCGTGCGGAGAGACACGACTACATTGTCCGGACGAGGCATAATTAGTTATTGAAACGAGCGAATGTAATTATTCATTGTAAGTGTAAGATAAAAGTCAGACACTTTTTTACCGTGCCGTGACGCAAAGCCTAAGAATTCAAATAAACTCGTCAGCTTATGAATTTAGATAAGATCGTTAAGGATCTCATAAATTAATGTTATCTGGTTTACGACCGCGAGAACCTCATACTGTGTGCAACTAACAAGGTATCATACGTGATCTTAATATTCACGATACCAATTCTCCGCTGGCTAGAAAATAGCTCCCAACCGTGTCGCGTATATTCACGCATCAAAGTTTTATTTTAATGTCGCACGATATCTCAGAAATCTTATTTCATTCATGCACATCTAATATAACAATAAGGACAAGTGATAAAATATTCATTATTTCCTGCTTAATTCTCGAGTAAATTTTAATTCTTAAGTGGAGAACAGTTTTTTAAGTCATAGCTTTATCATCGTATTGATGGGTCCGACTCTAAACGATTGATTGATCTTTCTCAGCTATTTGTTTGACAAATTATATTTTAAGTGTTTACACCTAAAATATATTACTTTAACATTCGCTTAAATTTATTAAATCATTCACTACCTTTTATCTCTATTGATATTGCGTTATACATTTTTTTCTTTTATTCAACAAACTCTTTAACGCACTCATTGTTTGACGAAATTGTTTTGCAATATTATCAGCCTGCCGTATTTGTCTTTCACTCACACCACCCACTATCTCTAATTTATTTTGTAGCTTATCTAGTAGTAAACCAGATCCTACTTAAATTATACATTAAATAAATTAAATAAATATAGATATATATTATGGTGCAGTCTCTTCCATATAAACATGAACCGCATACATTCCACTTTAGTATTTCTACTGCATTGTAATACTATGACTCTCACAGTATTCTGGTTTTCAGCTACTCGTTGCTTATCCAGCTGTGTTTCACTAATTGGTAACTAAAGTACAGTATTTGAAGTAAGGCGATATGATTGGTTTATACATTATGCAATTATATAGTTATACATTATAGTTATAATTATATAGTTATACATTATACCATACAATTATACATTATACTATTATATAGTCAGTATATTATCATCCATTTAAGAAATTCGCCTTTTTCCTTATTTTCTTTAGTAGAGAAGGGGAGAGAGAGATGTGTGTGTAATATAAAAGAATTCAAATTAAAATATCCCGTATTTAATATTATGAATTGTTGGTGAGACAACAGTTTGTGAAAATTTGTTTCACGGTAGTTGTGAATAGAAATGCTAATTACGTCGACGCGATAGAACAAAACGTAGATACTTGTCTTGGAGGTGGGAAGCGTGAAATAGGAGAATATATAAGGGGACTTCGTTCGTAACGCGGGAACACTTTCCCGTTAGATCTGTCTGCACATCTGATATATGATGCACCGTTAAAAATATTTCTGCGCGGGCAGAAGCTACCGATTCGGCTCGTCAAGACGGCGTGCAGTAAGCAAAATATATATATAATTCCCTTCGCATACTTTATTCACTCTGATTTACATACTTTTTTTGTCTGGCCGTTATTAAATTTTCGTTCTTCACACATTCACTATTTATCTTTGAAATTAATAAAGTCGAAAAATCCGCCCGCTGTCTTTTTCCCTCTCAGTGTGTATTTTGGTTTTTGTATCTATTTTTTATCGCTAGTAAAAAAAACTGTAATACCTTCTTTTTCTGTTTAATCACTTTCTCTACGTTCTTTTCTCTTTATTCTCATTTTTCTCCTCTCCCATCTCTTAATATTTTCATTATCGCGCGCGCGTCTATAAAAATGTAATTTCTTCTTGAAGAAATATAGTGCTATATATTAAAATATACTGATACGTTAGTAGAGAAGATATGTGAGTTACCAAGTGTTGTGTCAACAATAATTGTTTGCGCTAAAATGATAATTGCGCGTTTAAAATTAACAAACATTTTATTTTACAAAAGTTTCTATTTAAGTGCCTCGTAATTGCGTAAAGGAGTGAGCGTTTTCATTAACAAGGTCAGTGCAGGTATATAAATAAGAGTGAATTATTTCGATCTTAAAACTACAAGCGGTTTTTGCATTGTTTCGTCGTGTGTTCTCTCAGTACAGTGACGCTCTTCTTTCTACTCGATTTATAATGCATTTTACGTAATTTAAGAATATTTGTCATCTTGTTTTCACAAGTTGAAATACAAGTAAAAATTGAATTGATATCTCGTTTATTTATGGCGTATTACACTGAAAAGAAATACTTAAAAATTGATTTGTGAAATGTAAAGTTTATCTCTGTAAATAGATTTTATTACAATGTGCTAGAACCTGCACTGAAAAAAAAATATTCAACAATTTATTTGTGGGACATAAGTTCATAATAAATTTTATATCCAACAGATAAATTCTTAAGTATTTTTTTCTCCGTGCGAGCACGCCACTTCGTTAAAGTAAGAGAAGCCGAAATTTCTAGTTAGGTCTAGTATTCAAGGTGTAATTTTAATAAAAAAAATATAGTGTCCTGAAATGTCAAATATTCGATCAAACGATTACGTAAAGTTCTAAGATCATACACTGACAAGTAACTACCCAAGTGCCACACGTCGATCTTCTTGAAATTTTGCACACATGTAGTACATCGAAAAACATTAGACAGCTATTTTTTATCTTGGCTAACAAGGCATTTTAAGGTTAGAAAACGCATTCGAAAATTTAACACTATAGCACAATGATAATTAACGCTACTCCTGAGCGTTATTCTTTTACAGCTTTTACAACATTATTCTATTATAATTTCATCGTCTGAATGTTCCTGAAGTCGCTAATTATGATTTCAACATTAGTTTTGCGAGATTCAAAATCGTGGACCGAAATCGCAGACATTTCAAAGACTTTATTCAAAGTCAGTTTCGAAGAAATTTTTTAGACTCATGATTACGATTATAAACTAATGTCAAAATCATAATTAGCGACTTCAGAAACATTCAGACAATGAAATTATAATAGAATAATGACGTAAAAGCTGTAAAAGAATGACGCTTAGGAGTAGCGTTAGTCATCATTGTGCTATAGAGTGTTAAATTTTCAAATGCGTTTTCTAACCTTAAAATAGCTAAAATAAAAAAATACGTGTCTAGTTACGTGCCTAGTTAGCTAAAATAAAAAAATACGTGTCTAATGTTTTTCGATGTACTACATGTGTGCAAGGTTTCAAGAAGATCGGCGTGTGGTACTTGGATAGTGTTACTTGTAAGAAAAAAATAATTGAAAATTTATCTGTAACATATAAAGTTTATTTCTGTGAATTAACTTTATATATTTCACTATAAATTTTGAAGTTTTTTTCAACGTGTACTCAACGTGTTCTTTAATTTCCATTTTGGATAGTCGGTAAGTGGTTGTAGATTATATTTCATTGTGAAGCAGATTCCAAATTATTTGTTCTTTTAGTTATTAATTATTAGAGTTACTTGTTCTATTCGATTAGTTATTAATACGTATCTTTATCAGAATACTTTTATCATGAAAAGACTGTTCTTTTTTAAAAACTGATGAAGCAAACATAATTACCTGCATACAGTAATACATGCGTGAGTTTTAATATTTTCATAAACAGATGTACTGGCATTACAAGTAAAAAAAAAAATAGAAGACTCAATTAATTCCTTACGTAAAGTAACTAAACTTTACGTAACTTCTTTAGTAACTGTTATCAATGATCTTCTAACATTCAACAAAATTTCATAATAAGTGAGGAGATACCGTTTAAAATATCATTTAAAGTGCTGCAATTATCCATTGACGTACTGAAGTACGTCTAGACGATAATGGCACTTATAAGTGTTGCTTTGCACGTATCTTTCGGATAGTGTTACGATCATTCCGGCGACATTTGTTAGCGAGGAAAAAAATTTTTTTCGATGTACTACATGTGTGCAAGGTTTCAAGAAGATCGGCGTGTGGTACTTGGATAGTGTTACTTGTAAGAAAAAAATAATTGAAAATTTATCTGTAACATATAAAGTTTATTTCTGTGAATTAACTTTATATATTTCACTATAAATTTTGAAGTTTTTTTCAACGTGTACTCAAGTTCTTCAATTTCCATTTTAGATAGTCGGTAAGTGGTTGTAGATTACATTTCATTGTGAAGCAGATTCCAAATTATTTGTTCTTTTAGTTATTAATTATTAGAGTTACTTGTTCTATTCGATTAGTTATTAATACGTATCTTTATCAGAATACTTTTATCATGAAAAGACTGTTCTTTTTTAAAAACTGATGAAGCCAACATAATTACCTGCATACAGTAATACATGCGTGAGTTTTAATATTTTCATAAACAGATGTACTGGCATTAAAAGTAAAAAAAAAAAAAAATAGAAGACCCAATTAATTCCTTACGTAAAGTAACTAAACTTTACGTAACTTCTTTAGTAACTGTTATCAATGATCTTGTAACCTTCGGCAAAATTTCATAATAAGTGAGGAGATACCGTTTAAAATATCATTTAAAGTGCTGCAATTATCCATTGACGTACTGACATCAATTATACATTGACTTATTTCATTATCTAATCGCTAATGGCACTTATAAGTATTGCTTTGCACGTATCTTTCGGATAGTGTTACGATCATTCCGGCGACATTTGTTAGCGAGGAAAAAAAAGAAACAGAAACCAGAACCGTTCTTAGTAACAACGCGGCGGCGGTTACCATGAATACCAAGCAGCCATTTAAGAACGTGCCTGATACAAAAATGACAAAAATAGCTATCAAAATCCGTTTATTTTCGCAACCAAAGTTTACTCACGATCTTCAAATTTAATAAAATCAAATAACACGTGCGGCGGCATAAAAAAACAGTGGTGATGTATCGTTTTATCAATATTTTTGAAAAGTAGCTTGTGCCATATGTATAATAAATATTTACATGTTTTTCAGGAAGCGTTTTCGCTTGCTCGATCGCTTTTGTTTCTCCTTTTTTGTGGATTTCGTTGAGTTGCACTCGAACGGCTCGATATGGCGCGGTCCGATTTCAACGAGATAAAAGTCATTGACGACACGATGGACGACATGGAGATAATACGAAACATAATTAACACGGAGTACCAAGACAAACCATTCTACATCGCGGATATCGGTAGCGTGATCAAGAGACACGATGAATGGATCGCCAAGATGCCCCGAGTTATCCCGCACTTTGGTATCTACTTTAAGTTTCTCGCTCTTCCAATTTTACAAATGCGCACCAATGGTAATGGAAAAAGTTGCAAAGTAGAGATATCACTAATCGTTTCCCTTTCTTCAATCCTAGCGCTTAAATGCAATCCGGATCTGACAGTGATTAAAGTTTTGGCGGCTTTGGGCGCTTGTTTCGACTGCGCGTCTGAGGTAAAAATATCTGCTTTTTCCCCTTCACGATTGTCAAACAGTGTTAGGCATTAGGCGACTAAATATTTCTTCCGACTAAAATAATCGGTAAATTAATAATCAAAGTTAATCAATCGTAAGGCAAGCCTGAATGTTAGTGCGAACCGTTTTCTATTACTAACCGTTAATTAATAATCATTAATTATAACCATTACTTTTTTAATTGTGGGAAGATAATAAACTTTTTAAAAATAAAATAACACATTCATTATGCAAACAATTAAGATAGGGCAATGGAATATTAATTGACTATTGTTCAATTCTATTGATTTATTTACATATTTTTATTTTTCTTTTCTTTTTTATTGTTTTAGTTTTTTTTATTTACCTATTTCTATTTTTGGTAAAAAAAAATTTAGTAAGATTAATGTTCAACTTTGCTGCTAAATAGCTCTACTAATTTTCCGTATACAATAGTGCCAGAACAATAGGTTTGCCAGATCCGAACATTCGATCATTCACAAATTTTGGTAAAGGACTGAGGAAAATATTTCAAAATAGCTCAAAACTATTTACAGATTTTTATTGCGCTACTATCTTATAGCTAAGGTTTTTCTGTATGCGTTAAAAAAGAGATACAGCATTCAACTAAATTATTTGTTATTTCTTTCAAGTATTTATTTCAAATATTTAATATATACGTTCTGAGTCCTAGCAAATTTAATATTTTAGTTAAAAACATTAAATTAAACAAATTCGGTTTTAATTCGGTAGAAACACTATGTGTGTCTACAAAAAGATATTCCATGTTGAAGATAACCGTTACTTAATAGAAGAAAAATGATTGCTTTACTTAATAATGAAATAATATTTTTTATGTGTATCTCTGTGGAAAAAAATATATCCAAAAATATTCATTTTGAACAAAGTTATGTTAGTGCAAAGTCGTACGGTTTTGGCAAACTCAGACTGTAATGATGATACCGAGGACTAAAGAATACTCTCTGAATTTCTTGGAGTAAAATTTCACTTAAAAAATAGAATAAACATCAAGCCGCTCAAATTCAAGTGATTTTGACCCATGTAGAGCGAATACTTCACTCCAAATTGTTGAGTGAATATTTCCACTCGAAATTTTGAAGAGTGAACCTGATGTACTCCACCATCACAGGAGCGTATTCGATCGATTGAAGTGTTCGCTCAAATAAAGTCAGAATCTACTCTAAGCTGGAGTGAAACATTCACTCTTGCGATTTCGCTGTCGCCTCGAGAGAAAAGGTGCAACTTCTCACTCGTACTGCAGCATTTCCATTCCGAGAAATTACGAGAATAGCTCAATGCAAATCACGTTTGTAAGTAGCAAGAGATCAAGCTAGTGATGCAGCACGGGGTGCATGGCGATCGAATCATCTTCGCACACCCGACCAAGTATCCGTCTCACATAGCTTACGCAAAGAAAGTGGGGGTCAAGCAAATGACGGTGGACAGTGAAGCCGAGCTGTTCAAGATCAAGGATATCTTTCCCGACGCCAAGTGAGTGAGAGACAGATTATAACGAACGTTCCTCTCTTATTATTCCCATTCTTGTTTCGCGTATCACTGAGCGAACGATCGGCTTTTGCACGGCAGAATCGTCATACGTATACGCTGCGACGCCAAAGTCACGCAGGTGGTGTTGGGCTTGAAATTTGGCTGCGAGCCGAACGACGAAGCCGTGCACCTGATACGACTCACCAAGGATCTCGGCCTGAACCTGTACGGCTTCAGCTTCCACGTCGGCAGCCCGTGTGGCGAGCTGGAAGCTTACAGCCGCGGTATTGCGATATGCAAACAATTAATTGCTACCTCCCAAAGTATCGGCTGCGAAAATGTGCAGCTGATCGACATCGGCGGCGGATTCCCGGGCGAGACTGAAACGGACGTCGACGAGGTGTATAAAATATTTTAAACGTAGTCTATAATCTCGATTCAGAAACGTTAAATCGTAATTCTGAGCGTGGTGATGGACATGTGGTGACCAAACGGATGTTAGAGAATTAAACGAAACAACTCCTCGATTTTTGTAACCGAGAAAGATTTATTGTAAATTCGTTCGCGACATTTAAGGACGAAATGCTCCGCTTTTCAAATATCGTTATTCACGTACTTCTGCTCAGCATTTATTTAGAAGTGAAAACGAAGGAGTGTTGGAAAATTAAGGAGATATGAGGCCGAGTTGCTTATTTCGGCTGATTTTTGTCGGCTGCCATCTTCACTCCTCCAATTATTATTATTATATACATATGTATTGTATACATGTATTTTCATGTGTGTGTATATATATTTTTATTACATATGTACACACATACATATATATATATATATATATATATAATGAAAATAATAATAATAACATTGTAAACAGTGAATAGCGCGCGCAGCAATATGCACCAAAGATACGATTCACAGCTAATTATCTCTGAGCTGCAGTGCTTTAACGCCAAAATGTGCTGAAATTTTACGTTGATTTGGCCCATTTATTTTACTACGGAAATGAGGTCTGTTGTTTATAAAGAGTACCATTTCTACCAATTTCGATGTCGCTCTATCAAAATTAATGTAATTTTGTAGTAATATTGACTCTAAAACAATTTCAATAACCAAATATAAACGAAAATTTGAATTAAACGCTTCAAATCGACCGCCATTTTGGTACCGCCATGTTTGTTGAAAAAAATATAGGCATATTTTTTAAATTAAAGTGTCGAGAATACGTTTTAGACATTTTCCCGAGCAATACTAACACGTTTTTATGGAGAAAATAGCGGAAGAAGAAAAAATTAGCCTTAAAAACATCGGTTTTTTATTTTATTTTGCAGAAATTTTGCATAAATTGCGATTTTTTTAAATTTTCTCAACGCTATTCAATAGAGCGACATCGAAATTGGTAGGAATGGTACTTTTTATAAACAATAGACTTCATTTCCGTAGTAAAATAAATGGCTCAAATCAACGTAACATTTCAGCACATTTGAACGCTAATGGGTTAAGGCAGTTCTACAATTGCGTAAGCGCGATCATGGATATAAGAGCCAAATAATAAAAGTATTTCATTCACTGATTACTTTATTCTGATTAGTTATGGTAATCACTTACTATGTACTACTCCAACCGTTTCCGACTACGTTTACGCAATTGTAAACATCTCCGGGAATAATCTAGATCAAAGCTCGGAACAGTTTGTCAATTTTCTCGGGAGCTACGCCTTCTACCTCCCCCTTGCCGCGCGGCGGGCCAAGAAAGTGACGATCGCGGCTTCCGAAAATCGAAATTGACAAACTGTTCCGAGCCCTGATCTAGATGCTACGAGATGAAACAAGAGAAATGAGTATAGCAGTTGACAAAATCAAGCGAAACAAACCACTCGGCCGCACTGCTAATTAAGCGAAACGGTCTCTCGATTTTGATAAACGGGAGAGATCGAATTCATTCATTCATGGAGTCCACAATCGTTCGATTCTTCAGATATTGTAAATTATGCATATGGAGATTGATGTTGGGGAATTATCTTTATGAGCTCTGGAATTGTACATTGTGTATGTATGTGTGTGTATGTGTGTGTGTGTACGCGTGGGCGAGAAAGAGGGGGTGGGGGAGAGGAGAGAGAATTATTCTCGTATGTATTTCATTTTCCGTTTGTTTACATGCGCGTTATATACTTCTTTATGACTTTTTCAGTTTGCGAGTATCATCAATGAGGCGATACAGGACCTCGATCCTACCATAAGAGTTATCAGCGAACCGGGAAGTTACTATGTAACTTCCAGCTTCACTCTGACCACATATCTGCACTCGAAGCGAGTCATTCTGCGAGACGGTGAAAGGATGAGAATGTACTACATAAACTGCGGGGTATTCCATTCCTTCGTGGAGGAGCTGTTGGGTTTAAAGGAGCGTATCCCGCAATTATTGTTCGAGGTAACTCTACTATTTCCCATTTTCTCCACCAAAAGCCGCTCTATTATAACGTAAGACATTAATTCATCGCGCCGTGCAGCCATTGGACGACGAGAAGTTCTGCTCAAGCTTATGGGGCCCGACCGCGGACTCTTACGATTTAATAATGAAGGATGTATTGCTGCCCGAACTTCATATCGGCGACTGGTTGATCTGGAAGGACATGGGCGCCTACTCCATTGCCCTCGCCACAACGTTCAACGGATATCGAGCTCCAATTGTGATTCCGATCATCAGGAAAAGTGAATGGTCAGTCGACTCGTGTAAAAAGAGACGAAGTATACATACAGAGAAATATATACTGAATACAAGTAACTTCAAGTAATATTCAAATGTTACTTGGTCCAAGTATTTCATAAGTTTATGTATATCTGCAAATCTACACTGAGAGAAAATATTTGAAAATTTATTTGTAGCATATAAAGCTCATCTGCAGAAATAAATTTTATTTTACAGAAATAAACTATATATATCTTACATAAATTTTTCATGTATTTTTTTCTCAATGTATCATAAGTTCATCATAAATATCAAATTTATTCACAAAATTCACATTCTATATTTTAATTAGCATCCAAATTAAGGATATTAAGTTGAAACAAAAATACGATTTATTTACTATATAGAATCGAGCCAACTCTTTCGTTCTATAATATTCTTGCCAGGATTCTTTTAAGTACATGATATACAGAGAAAAAGTACTTGAAAGTTTACTTGCGGGATATAAAGTTTTTATTCATAGAAACAAACTTTATTTCACGGAAATAAACTTTATATCTTAAAAATAAATTTTCGAGTATCTTTTCTCATTTTCAGTGTAATGAGTTTTTTTCAAGTTCGTGATGAGTTCATTGGGAGATTATTGTCAAGGGAATATTCTTTGTTGAAGATGACTATTGCTTAAAAGAAAGAAAGTAAAGTGAGAAATCGCTTTTCTTAACAATAGAATGATATTTTTCTCTGTGTATATACACTTTATAATAAACTTTTGATATATATAGTTTAGTTATAGTTTTTTGTATAACTATAGTTTTGTTATAGCAGTCACCTGGCCCATTTATTGCATTTTTTGTTATAGTTTAGCTATACTTTTTTTATATAACTATAGTTTCGCAGACGATCTATAACTTTGAATTTAATTGTTGGTTTAATTCCTTGATGTTTGTATAGGAAGAATTTCAAAAAGCGAATTACTGTGGAGGAGCCTTTCTGTTCCATGGAAATCCGTCAAGTTGTACGAATCAATGGAAAAGCGGAAGAAGGCTGTTCAACGTAGTTCGCGAGTTTCTAGAAAAAACAAAATAGAGCGTATTGTGAATTTATGTAGATTAGATTTCGCGACGTATGTACGTAAATAAGTCCAAGATTGCACAATGCTCACATGTTTACTCGATATATGTAAACGCGTGTTAATGTGTAGAAATTATGGTATATGTTACGTTAATACATGGAAGTTAGAGTTTCAGGGGAACGCTTATCATTCGGCCACCGAAATTTCGACAGTCCTCTTGCAACACAATGTTTATAAATTCTCTAAGAAGTCGAGAGAGAAAGAAAGAAAGAAAGAAAGAGATCTTACGATCTCGTAAGAGATGTTATTATACAAGACAGATAGCATATTCTACCGCC